TGTAGGAACTAATGTAACGTTGGTATCTTCTTCATTATGCAGACTATCCTCATTATTAGGTTTTTTGTAGAGTACGCCGATAACAGCCAACTGATTTCCATGCGCTAAACATAGCTGCTGATGTACTTCAATTAACCTGCCTACATTTGTCATAACTGCAGCTCCATCAGCGGTAATACCTACAATATTCTTGATCGAAAGCTCAAAATTACCTGACCTATCATTAACAAGATCAATTCATTTTTCTGCAGAAATTGTTCCAAAAGCACAAACTAATCCTAGATTCCAAAATTCTTTGTCAGAGTGGACATTAATATTTATCTAACGTCTATTTCTTATCGATGTCCATTCGTTGAAAGTTATAGAAAATCTGTTTAAATCCATTAGCAATCCTGCTCGATAATTCTTTAATTACTTTGTCTCGTAAATTTTTACTGTAATTCAAGTCCATTTTGTGAATTGTTTTGTGATTCTTTGGTATGTTAGAAAAACCTATGGCTGTTAAACCTTTTCTGATATCATATGATGTGCAGATAATGTTGAATGATAAACCATCACACGCAGTTATCCTAGCTAAAATAGCTGGCAATGAATAATCTATTTTATAACTTTAAAAAAAGTTGTTTATAGTTACAGAAGGTTTTGATGACTATACAAATTCTGAAGAATCTAAAACAGTGGGGCGTTCCGTTATTTTAAAAGGAACCAGTTCCTAGCTTCGTTTCTCAAAAAAAGAACTAGTTTCAGGAATCCGTTCCTTTTGGAACGCGTTCTTCCAAACACTGATATATATATAACAACAATAACAATAACAATTTATATTCTGAAATAAAAATTTACATTTCATGGTTGTTTTCTAATAGTACGAGTACTAATCTAAGGTAAACACCAATTAAATAATAATTGTAATGATTGTAATGAAAGACAATTCAGAATAGCAATTAGCGATTGCAAAACAAGCAATTCCCTTTTGCGAATTGCACAAAAACTTATTACGAAAGTATTCCCTTGAGAGAATTCCGCACGAGGAATTCTCGCTTAAAAGCCAGTGCGCTAAATTTGTTGATGTTACGACGCGAAACTATACAGAGTTTTATATTTAAACTAGTTGTGATAATTTAATATGAAAATATTGAAATAAATATTAAATAAAAATCATAGTCGAATTCTCTTCATAATAAATATAAAAACAAAACATTACAATAATAATATTTTCAATAATTGTATTTTTCAAGAAAAAAGTTTCATGATCTTTAAAATTAAGAAACTTGACCCCGATTATTTTTACCTTACCATTTTTACCACAATAATGATTATCTTCTTTGTGTTCTTTTCTTCCTGCACAATTCACTCTTATAATTCGTGAATTTCTAGTTTTTCTTTCAGTAGGTTTTTAATTAATTCTTTATCTTTCTCTCATATTTCACCTTTGGTGCCCATTCATTCACAAAAGTTTACTCCAGGTAATAAAATTATTTATTACCTGGAGTAAATTTTTGTGAATGATTCCTTTTAAAATTATTTTACTTTGAAGAAGTTAAAAAATCAGAAAAGTAAATCAACAAGATTATGCACAATTTCTTAAGTCATTAATAGAACAAATTAAACTCCGCGATACTCGATATTTTTTGCAGACAGTTCTGGTAAAAAAAGTTTTAACTTTATTTCAAAACTCTACACCTTTTCAAGATGTAATTGAGAAAATCAAAATTGTAATTAAGAATCGTAAGATGTAATTGAAAAAACAAAAGTTGTACTTAAGAAACGTAAGATGTAATTGAGAAAACGTAAGTTGTAATTAAGAAACATTAGATGTAATTTAGAAAACGAAAATTGTAATTAAGAATCGTAACATGTAATTGAGAAAATGTAAGTTGTAATTAAGAAATAGAAAGATGTAATTGAGAACACGAAAATTTTAATTTAGATATCGCTTTAAAGGAGTAAGTGTAAAATGGCGCTTAAAAAAAATGGCGCGTAAAAAATGGAGCGTATAAAATGACGCACTTAAAAATGACGCAAGATTTGTAGCGTAAATTTAATTTTTTAGGGAAAAATTTATAATTTTTGGGCAAATGAATTTAACATAATAAACACTAAAAACATTTTAGGTGAAAATTTATAATTCAATTAAAAATTATAATTAAAAATCATATAATTAAAAGTCACTTCATTGATCATTTAAGCACCAACTTGTACGTCTTCCATATTTAAAATAGTTGCATAGTGCGTGGTTGTGTGTTGTACCGCACGGAATGGAATGCGAATTGCATTTTTAACGTTACTTTTAATTTTGGACCAGATCGTTTCCACCGGGTTCAAAATTGGACTGTAAGGTCCCAAACGTAACAACTGAGCTGGTGAATTATCAAACACCCTTTGCAAACGAGCGTGACAAGGAGCATTATCTGTTACGACGACCAAATCCTCCAAACGATTCCCGGATGTAACCCAATGGTGAAACATAGCCAACATCCACTCGTTACAGGAATCTGCTTTAAATGATCCCCTGCGAGTTTCTATCATGACGACATTTGTAGTTGAAATAGCTGCGATCAAGTGTATGTTTAACCCTTTTGAAGCAGGTACTTTCATAATTGCTCTTTTTCCTTGTCTCACGCGTCCTTGCGTTTTTCTACAAAAAAGGTTAAAATTTGTTTCATCCAACCAAACTATCTGACGACCATTTGTGATATGTTCGTTGATGTTTCTAACATATTCAGCTCTTTTTTGTTTGTTTTCATAACTGTTCATTGTAGAAGGCTCCTTGTGCACTTTTTTTAATGAGAACAATCTGCCTTCGAGGTAATTTGCTATTGTTGTTGTGCTAACGTTTATGTTAAATTGTCTTAATATCTTTGTTTTGATGGCCACCAATGTTAATTGACAATCATTTTCAATCCATGTTAATGTTTCTTCGATTTGATCTTCGGTCAACTTTTTTGGTTTAAAACCTCCTTTTTCCGATGAAATTTGAATTTCCGCTGCGAACCCAATTGTATGCTGTCTTATATTTGATACCTAGCGTTTGCGCGAGATTCACCCAATCTTCAAATCGCTCCGCACATTCAACAACTCTTCTCCTGTCATTTGGAGAAGATAAAACGTAACGTTTCCTTTCAACTTGTTCAGTTGTGTGTATTTCATGCCGACAAATCAGACAACTTGAATCTGGTTGTTCCAGAACTGGACGTAAACAAATTTGGTGACATAAATGTTGACACGGATTTAGCTTAATCACAGACTTTCGGGTCATAGTGTATTGGCATATAACACAACGATCTTTCAATTCCATTATTATTACTTGTGCATACAAAAGCAAAATTTAAGATTATAACTTAAATTCATGTCTAAAAAGACCTTTTGTAACAACCTACAAACTTAGACTGTGAATTTGCTACTTTAATTTATGTGTTCTCAATTACAAGTTACGATTTCTCAATTACATATTATGATTTCTCAATTATATCTTACGTTTTCTCAATTACATGTTGTGTTTCTTAATTACATGTTACGACTATTTATTTACATGTTGTGTTTCTCAATTACATATAACGTTTTCTCAATTACATGTTGTGTTTCTTAATTACATATTACGACTTCTTAATTACAACTTTCATGTTCTCATTTACATCTTGAAAAGGTGTAGTACTGGCCGCACATAAACTTTGTAAGTTTTTAACAAAAGTTGAGAACTGCTTGTGATGAAGGATTATAAAAGTAGGTAAATATGGGAGGAATATTGCTCTCATATTTCATATGCCACATATGAAATATGAGAGCAATGACTAGATAACTTTGTATTAGAAGACATGGTAATTTCTTACTGAATTGAATGAATTATTTCAATATTGGTAACGGAATTTATTGAATAAGAATGAATAGGTAAAAAATATCTTCCTTAGCATAAATTGAAACATTTGTTAGTTTCTCCTTTAAGTTGCCAATCAATGGACCATGAAGAGTTTTTTTGAATAAAATAAACTTTAAACTTTTTTAGAAAAATTTTTTAGTCAAGCAAAAAGACGCGTCAGAAAATGAAGGAAAGCAATAATGAAACAATGCTGCTTCAAAAGGTACAAATAAAGATTATTTTGCAGCTATATCAATCACAAATGGATGGTTAAACGCCAAACCTGCCTATACAAAAAAGTTGAAAAAAATGAATTTATTCAAAAAAAAAAAGATTTATGTAGTGTTTTTTTGCTAACACCAATACACTACGAAGAAAATTTTTAAGTGCACTTAACTGCAAATACTTTTAACTGTTTCGGTTTAGTGGCTTTTATTGAAGACTTTTAAACTTTGCGTCTAATTATCTCGCTTCAACATACTCGTTCTATAGGCAGGTTTGGCGCTTAACCATCCAAATGTCGTTTTTGATATACAATCGCAGAAGATCATTTAATGCAGATTCTTGTAACGAGTGAATCATTTAGGGGATTTGGTTGCTGTAGTTGAAAATACTACCTGTCACGCTTGTTTGAAAAAGGTGTTTCAAAATTCTAAAGCTTAGAACCCATTAGTCCAATGTCAAACCCGGCTGAAACAACCTGTTCAAACAATACAACATTAAACAGCCAACCCAAAATTAAAGGCCACCTTAAAAATGCGAATTGCATCCTACCTAGTTTAGGTGCTGGGATTTTCAAAAAATCTTAAGGGTAAGGGAACAATTTCCCTATCCCACCCTTTCCCCAATGAACTCGCCTTTGCTTTAAAAGTAATTAGAGTTATCTACCGGAAGGATCGGAGTGTATCAATATAGGTAGGCCGTGGATATTGTCCCGACACCGGATCCCAAAGTTGGGAATTGTCCATAAACAGATCATTTAAGCGGCCGTGCAGGAAATCCTGGTTCGAAACGAGCTTTGGACATATTTTCGCGTGACGTAAGGAAGAAGGCGTGAACTTCCTAGTTAAATACACTCCGTGACAGTAAGGCACCTAAAATAACAAAACAAAACAAAAACAAAAAAATTATAAAACCGGTATAGGTACCGTACCGGTTCCATGTACCGGTTAGTGGTTCAAACCTTTTTAATTAATATCATTATTTATAGTTTAAATTACAGAGGTAGTTGTGGTAGAGGTTGTGAGATAAACAAAAGATTTTTGAATATATAACTATATGAACAATATTTATCTTTATACCTAAAATGCAAAGCAAGTTTTAAAGAATACATTTTATAATGGAAGGTATTAGCTAATAATTCAAAAATGTATCAATATCTTTATAATAGTAGCATAGGTATACTACTATTATAAAGAATAATGCTAGTATATAGCATAAAAATCACGCTAATTATAGTAATATGATTTTTATTTTGTTCATTAAGTAATACTTATTAATAATAATTCTTATGCTTTTGTTATTCTCATGTTTTGTAATTTATAAAATTAGTATTTGTAAGTTTTGAGAATTTATGTAATTAAAAATTATAAGAAATTAAGTAATAAAACGTTTTAAAAATTTTCTAATTTTATATTTATTTTTTAATGAAAAAAAGTTATTCTAAATATGACATTAAAAATACATAAATACACTTTATTAGTATATTATAGACCAGTTCCATTATGTTTCATGATGGAAATTATAATTTTATTATTCTATTTTTAAAATTGTTAGATGTAAAGTGCATTTATGTTTATCTGTTCAGTTATCTATTTTCTATCAAAAATATAAAATTGAATTTTTGTACATATGAGCATAAAAATGTATAAGAAGTCATAATAAAATTGTTAAATATGATGTTAGTAATCCTGATTTGTTTTCTGTTTGATTTTATTTCTGTTCAATCTTATAAGTTTAAAATTTTGTATATAAAATTAGAAAATTTTTACAGATACTTTATTTTAAAAAGTTAGATTTAATTAGTTCAGAAAGTTTGTATTCATTAAAAATTCTTATTGAAAGTTAATGTACATTTTTTAATTTAATTTTTTTTTTTTTTTTTATGTTCATCTTCTAGAGTAACTTTTTTTTGAATTTAAATTTTTTATTTATTCTATTCAATTCAATTTTTTTTACTATAGATATTTTGTTTTAACTTTTAAATTTAATTTTTTTAGATACATTGTTTCAACTAAAAGTAAGTTGACTTTAAAATTTTTCTTGTTTTTTTAATATTTTTTTTAATGCACTTTCTCAATCCCTAACCTTCATTTGATGTAAATAATGAAGTCTGCGTGTTTCACGGTATGCCAAAAATACTATATTTTATGCAGAATTCAACAAATGTTGAACCTACAACATATACAGTTTAAAGGACATAGTTAAATTTAAAGTGTCATCTCATATTGTATTTGGATATTAATATTGTTGCAAAGCATTTAAAATTTTTGCGAGATAAAGAGATTCACCTTTTTTTAAATTTGAAAGCAGGATAAGTAATATTTTGTTGAATAATTATTTGTCATTTTACCATCTCATCAAAAAAAGTTCTAGATTGTTTCATTTTTCTAGTTGTTTTAAATTTTTTTTATCTATGATGGAAAGACTTATGTTTTAACTTTTTTATGTACTAAATTAGTTTTTCAATCAACATTATATCGAGTTATATATCAACATATTTCATTGATTTTTACATCATATCTCATGCATATAATATACATTTTTTTTGATGTTTATTTTAAGTAGTTTGGAATCACAATGTTTTTTTATTTGATTAATTTTCTTTTTGCTTTAATCTCTCATTATGATTGCGATATTAGTGTTGCAATTATTTTACCTACAGTAACCATGGAATGTATTTGTATGGGATACTATATATGTCAGTTTATTCTGCTAACAAAATACTAGACAGATTAAAATAGATTGCAGAAGTCACAAGAAAGTTCTGAAAATTTCTACAAGGTTCTAGTAAGTGGATTGTTCTGGAAAGTTTTGAAACATTTTAAAAGAACCAGAATACTCTTAAAGGTGCTAAAACATTTAAGAAGATATCTAAGCAATTTTGAGATTTTTTATTTCTTTTTTATTTCATTTATTTATAATTTTTATTTCTATTTTTTATTTTTTATTTCAAATAAAAATTATCAATCTCCATTTTTAAAGAAAAAAGAAAAAGAATAATTTTTAAACTTTAATAGTATTTTAATTTTTATAAATTTTGAGGGGCGATATGTATTTGCTGAGTATTATGACACGATTTCCTTTTTTATTTGAGTATTTTTATTTATTATGCACACACTATACTTTTCATAACTAAATGTTTGTATGTGTGTGTGCATGTGTTTAATTTTTTTATTTAAAAGTGTTAATAAAATTTTTTTTGTTTATTTATTGTTACTTTTTAATGAAATATTTTTAGTTTTTTTATTGTTTTTATTGTGATTATTGATATCAAGATTATTCTATTTATTAAATCATTACTTTTTTTGCAGTAGTTGTTTTAGCTGTACGGTAGGTTGTTATGTTTTATCAGTATATAACTGTTTGTAACTTACCTATCTGCGCATATTATTCAATTGTTGTTTTAAAATTGATACTGGTTTATTATTGTATAATTTTCTTATCGTTCTTATAATTTTTAATTTATCATCATTGTTATTATCATTATTATTTGTATTAAAAATATTTTTTCATGGTATTTACCTAAGATTAGTTTTTGATGACCTTTTTTTTTGAATGACCTTGATTATAAGATCTTATAATAGATTGACTGATTGAGAATACTCTACTTTGAAAGCAGAATTGTAAAACTTTGAAAACAGAATTGTATCAACTGCTCCTGCCCAAGCTTTTGTAACACATTAAAATCATAAACTAAAATTTTGAAAACAAACTTCCTTGTAGGATTTTTATAAGTCAGATCAGGTTATCCTGCTACTGGTAACATGTAATCCAGTACAACCTGCTTCATGTTTTGCTGCCTTGTAGGATACGCTTTTTTAGGCAAAAGCTAGGAAAAACAAACTCCAACTTAAACTCTTGGTTGAGTAAAAGCTAGAGATGGTTTCTTAATAAAAATGCTCATCTTGGGTAGGTGTTAAAAGCAACCGGCTACTGTCTTGTAAAAGGCCTTTGAGGCTAAGACTTAACGGGTAAACAGGTTCTATCTGTGGACCAGCCCTGTACCTCTTCTTCATCTATTAGGCTAGGCAGATGTATTAATAATACATTGTTTCCAGTTTAGGATGTTGAATGCTGGATCTTTCTTGACTCAATGCATTAGCTTTGCTTTTGTGTCTGTTTTTATGACTAGGCAACTCATGCTATTATCTCCTAACTATTTTTTTTATGTGCTTTTGCTGAGCACTCTTTCACTCTATTGCTTTTTGCTTTGTTCTATATCACTCTCCTTCATCTCAAGGCTGCACTCTTTTTGATGTTATTTCTGATCAAATTGACCATGCCTCTTTATCCATCAGCCAATATTGTTGTGTTAGTGACTTAAATGCTTATCATAATAAATGGCTTGGCTTTAGTGTCAGTGACTCTGCAGGAGTTAAGGCCGATAACTTTTTCCTTTCTCAATCTCTAACTCAAATGGTCAACTTTTCAACTCACTTTCCAGACAACCCGAATCATTTAACTTCTTTACTCGACTTATGTCTTGTTTCTGATCCTATTGAGTGCTCTTTTCTCCTCATTCACCCTTAGGTACTTCTGATCATGGTTTGATCTCTCTAAAATTATTATTTCAGAAATCAGGCGTTTGTTTACTATTGCTAGAAACCATTGTAAAAAAGTTGTCTAACATCAAAGCTCTCTATTCTCAGGCCATGAAATCTCATATTTCACCTCAAACATTAGGCTCTCGTAACTTCTGGAGAATCTTTAAAAGTATCAATAATAAAGGCAAATCTGATATTCTGCCTCTCTTGTATGATTCAGATTTTGTAATATTACCTAAAGACAAAGCTGAATTGTTTAATAAAAACTTTTCATCATTATCATCTCTTGATTTCACTATTTGTATTCTACCTGATATAGCTGACAAACAGGTTGATACATTGCTTGACATTCCTATCACTCCAGCTCTATGCACTACTACTCCAGCACTGTATCTAAAGTGTTTTCCTGCTTAGACTCTTCTACAGCTTGTAGGTCAGACAACATACCTGTTATAGTCTTGCAGAAGTCTTCTCTGGAGCTGTTGTCTATCCTTTCAAAACTTTTAAACAAATGCTTATCAGAGTGATATTTTCCAGCTTGCTGGAAAGCGGCATATGTTATTCCTATTTTCAAAAATTCTGGAGAGCGATCTGACTCATCTAACTACCGTCCAATTAGTCTTCTTCCTATCAATAGCAAGGTTTTTCTTTAATTAACAAACACTTAAATTTTCATCTTGAATCTAATAACTTTCTGATCATCAATATAGATTTTGATCTTCTTGTTCTACAGCTGATTTGCTAACAGTAATAACCATAGGTTTTATCATGCATTAGATAGATGTGGAGAAGTTAAGGTTATGGCTCTCAAAGTTTCTAAAGCCTTTGATAAAGTTTGGCATGCTGGTCTTCTCCATAAGCTTTTTTTCTTACAGTGTATCATGTAACATCTTTAAGATTATTAAATTCTTCCTTTCCAATCGTAGTATCAAAGTTGTCCTTGATGGACAGCACTCTTCTTCATATCCTGTAGCTTCAGGGGTTCCTTAAAGTTTCATCCTTGGCCCTATTCTCTTTTTAATTTACATTAACAATCTTCTAAATATTCTTACCTCTAGGGTGGCATTGTTCGCTTATGAATGCATTGTACATTGTAATTCTTGTCTTGATAAGAAGCCAACACACTCTGATTGCTCGGAAGGGGCATTATGAAAGTTGCGTTATTTGAAAGAGGTATTTTACAAGTTTATGTACAGATGTTAACCTATAATTATATTCTTACACCATTAAATGGTGTAAGAATATAATTATTATTCTAACATGACTAAGTGTTACATGCATGATTAGCAAATGCAAGCTCAGTATAATTTTTAAAATTATTAAAAATCTATTAATATAATTAAAATATACTTACTGTGTTTGCTATAAGACTGTTTTTCTATTTTCATAATGTAGATTATTTTTCAAAAATTTTACATAAAAAAATGTCTGTCAAGTATCATTCAAACGATCTTTGGCTAGTTTATTCAAAAGAAAGTTTGAAAAATTTTACCAATATTTAATGCCTGTTGTTTATTTTATATCTTTTTGTATTTAACTGTATATAGCTTGATGTTTATTTAAATAATTTTGTATTTAGCTGTAGACTGTTATGATGTTTTTTTTAATCTTTTTGCTTGATAGTAAATATTAACTAAATATTAAATTGATTGCTGCAGCTATATAGTTGTATAACTTTGTTATATATTTTGATTTTTATTTTAATATATTTTTTAATATTTAAGCCAATATTTGAAATACAGTTAAAGCAAGAAAGTTTTTTCAATTTTGTTTAAGTTTGCTGCGAAACAATTGGAAAGAGCGTCCAAAAAATGTGAAAAAGAGCAAAAGATTGAAGAGGGTAAAATCAAAAAGGTAATTGTAATTGCAAATAAAAATTAAAAAATTAAATATTTAATATGAAAAATAAAAATAAAAAAATAAAAAATAGTGAATTTTCTTAATCTTTGTTTGTTACAACATTTTAAAAAATTTTATTGATTTTTTTTTTGGACAGACCTATTTTAACTGACTTTTTGTTTAACAGGCATTTATGAGTGATACAAATTAAATCTTACTACTTTAATGCAATTTACTTGTGAGTTTACGGAAATTTGTTTTACTTTTTAGAACTGAAAATTTTTTTAGATGATAATTTAGTGACTTTTTTTGGAATTGATGTTACTATTTAGTTGCACAAATTTTAACTGTTTGTTTCTATTTAGTAATTTTGATTGACTTTTCGTGTTTTTGGAATTTCAAAAATTACTGAAAACTTATTAGAAAACGAAAGCATAATTGTTGTTTGAACATCAGTAAAAATCTACAATACTATCAAAATGATTTTTACAATAAGAAATTTAAATCATTCATATAAGTTTGTTTGTATTGAAATAAAAATTTTAATGCTTTATAATAAAAGACTACTGCTGTTTTTTCAAACAATGATTATGATTATATTATCTTTAGAGCAAATATATTATTTATACACACTATAACACAATATATTGCATATATACACACAATATATTGCATATATACACACATGTATTGCATATATACACATAATATATTGCATATATACACACAATATATTGCATATACAGGCCTTGTGATGAATAAAAACTGCGCGACGCATAAGCACGACGTGATTTTTGACGTCATTAAATTCTTTTTATTTGCTTTGACGTTAACTGCACCAATTTACTTAATTACCACAAAACTACTTTAAATCATTAATGTAGAAATGTTGTAATTTAAAAATGTTTTAAAATGTTTCGTTTTTTAAAATGTAAAAACATTTGTTTATTTTCTCGACGTTTGACACGTTTTGTCTATACTAAACGAATAAAAAACATTATAACTAAACATTTAAAAAAGATTATAAAATATGCTAATATTTGATTTTTTTTTTTTAATATGTAATTTAAAGTTTTTTAAATAATTATTTTCTTTTTAAAAAGTCAGCAAGTAATAAACTGGAAATTTTAATATTTTACGATTAAAAGCTGTGCAATAGCTAGTGTTCGGCAAAATCAAATATACGTCAAACCTTTAAAGATTTGAATTTGAACTGTTCTTTGAGGGGATAGATTTGAATTTGATTTGACAAATATCTGGAGGATTTGGATTTGATTTTCAAATATTCACTTTGTTCTCAATTTTTGCGTTTGAAAAAAAAACGCCAAATTTTACAGGCCCGCAAACATATATATCACTTTATTCCGGGGTCTTTGCGGTGGTTCCCGGAATGGCGGTCGCCTTTCAATAACGGAAAAACCACCAAACGTTCACAATCAATTGTATGGGATCATTTCACAGTTGATGAGCATGACAAAACCAAGGCCATATGCCAGCATTGTCCAAAGCACAAGAACAAGTATGCTTACAATAAAGGTGGGACAACAAGTCTAATGAACCATTTAAATTCTCAACACAAAAGCAAATTACTTGGGGACAGAGAACCAAAGCAACGACGTTTAGATGACATGATAATGACACCAATCGTTTATTCTCCAGATCTATTCAATGAATACTTAGTTAGCTGGATTGTCAAGAATGATCAATCATTTAATGAGGTAGAGTCCAGCCACTTTCGTAAACTACTCACTCTACTGAAACCAAATTTGTCAATCATGAGTGCGCGCCAATTAAAACGCCAGATAATGGACACTTACAACACCAAAAAACAATTGCTAAAGACCCTTTTTTTGAATCTTGACTCAAAGGTTTCATTCACCACTGACTGTTGGACATCACCCAACAACATTGCTTTTATGGGCATAACGGCTCATTACATTGACAAAGACTGGAACCTACATGCCAAAACTCTTGATTTCAAATCCTTGCCTGATTCCCATTCAGGTTCAAATTTATCTAATGCATTCTTGTCAGTTTCGATTGAATTCGGTCTTACAAGCAAAGGAATGGGCATTACCTTAGATAATGCTTCCAATAATAATTCATTTATGGATTTTTTAAATTCCAAGTACGAAATTAAAACCACCTTTGAGCATATCCAGTGTTTTGCTCATGTGCTGAATTTGGGCGCGCAAGCAGGTTTGGATGTTTTGAAAGATGATCTTGTAACACTTAGAACAGGAATTTAAAAAATCCGATCCAGTCCTTAATCATATTCTAGGTTCAAAGGTTTCCAGCAATCAAATTGCACCTTAAAACCAATACTTGATGTCCCTACAAGATGGAACTCAACAGCTGATATGCTTAAACGAGCAATGAAATTAAAAGTTGGTTTCATTGCGTATTTTTGCGATTTTGACTCAACTGCAAGCAATCCAGACTGTTGTCTATCAATTTCACCAGATGTTTGGAACAGGTTTGAAACAATTGTTTTGTATCTTGAACCATTCCAGGAATTTACCCAGCTCATTAGTGGTGATTCATATTCCACATTGTCTTTGGTGGTTCCTCTCTTCAATATTCTTTTGGATCACATTACTGAATGGATGACCACAAAAACCAACCCTGAAGATAATCTACACCGCTCTACAGTTGCAGCGTTCGCAAAAATTTCAAGATATTATAATTTGACTAGTGACTGCTTTACTATCTGCACTGTCCTGGACCCAAGATTTGATATTGAATATTACAAAAATGATAAGGGCGCAAACAGCGAGTCGTATACAAAGATTATGGACACAGTCAATTGTGAATATCAAATCAATTATGCCCCAAGCAATATTACAACTGCTACAAGCATTCAAAACGTTTCAAAATATACCCCGTTCAAATCGCGTGTTTCATCAAACCCATGTAATGAGTTTGAAAACTATTGTAATGATACAAGTAAGCTAGATGGCGGCAATAATAGCAACATATTACTTTGGTGGAAATCTCGATCTGACAAATATCCAAACCTATCCAGAATGGCTAGAGATTACCTGGCCATTCCTGCTACATCTGTATCATCAGAAAGGCTCTTCTCATTAGGAAAAAATCTTATTACTGACAAAAGAAATCTTCTCTCTGCAGATATCATTCAAGCTTGCCAGTGCTTGAAGTCTTGGTTGGATTAAAAAGAATAAAAGAAGCTGTAATGTGTGAGAAATAGTAACAAATGCTGTAATATGAATAAAATTTATAGATTCAGATAACTAAAATTAATAAATGAAATAAGTTAAATAACGTTCAAATATACATCAAATCTTGGAAAGATTTGAATTTGATCTAAATTCAAAATAGGAAGATTTGAATTTGGCCATTTCAAACATTTGACGCATATTTGATCAAACTATTTGAATTTGTACCGAACACTAGCAATAGCTAATATTTTTACTAGCGATTTTATATATTTTTTTATTTATTTGTTTTTATTTATTTTCATAAAGCGGTTGATAAGCACAATCGTATTACTAAAAAACTTTAAACTAAAAAAGCACTCGTATTACTAAAAAACTTTAACGAACGTTTTGAATAGATTTTTAATATTTACAAGGAATTTTATTTTTGGTAAAATAAAATAAAATAAAATGTTAGAATAAAAATCTTATAGGTATAAAAGACATATTTCAGCGAAAAAATTATTCTTAAAAATTATTCGAAAAACTATTGACGTTCTATTTTTCAGCAGCTGTTCTTGAGCATGCTTCGTTGAGTTTCGGTAACTTTTAATAAAAAAGCGATTCTTATTATTTAAGTAATTTTTTTCGAGTTACTTTTTACAAAAATTTTAATAGCTGTACTTTTTTATTGAATCAAGTAGAATACGTTTTAATATTAATCCTTATTTGCATTACCAATTTTTAAAATATTCCCTCGAAATTACTCTTAAATACGTCTAACTAACAATTAAATATATATTTTTAAATCTATGGAATAATTTTAAAACCTAACAATAAATATTTTTAAACCTAAAAATAAATATTTTTAAACTTAAAAACAAATATTTTTAAACCTAAAAATAAATATTTTTAAATCTATGGAATAATTTTAAAACCTAACAAACCCCCGTAAAATAATTATTTAAGTTAAAAATCTAAAACTAAAAGAAAGTATTTTTGTTCAATTTTATAGACAACTTTGCTATTGCTGAATAATTTTAATAAAATGTTAGCTTAAAAAGATTTAAACTTTTTAATCTGAATTTTTTCTACTTGTAAATAATGAGCATATTTATTTTTTTTGTAATTGAAACTTTTATATTAACTGCGTGCGGTTTTTAAAATACTTTATTAAATGTTAAAATAATCGTAAATTACTTATTAAAATTCCGCTCAAAAATATCTTTAAATATACTCAAACAAAAATTTTTTTGCTCGACGCAAATAACCCTAACTACACGCAAAATCGCTCTTGGACGACGTAAAATTCACATCGCCCGATGCTTTATTGCAAGGCCTGCATATATTCACACAATATATTGCATATATACACACAATATATTGCATATATACATACAATAAATTGCATATATACACACAATATATTGCATATATACACACATGTATTGCATATATACACACAATATATTGCATATATACACACAATGTATTGCATATATACACACAATATATTGCATATATACACACAATATATTGCATATATACTATATATAATACTATAATCATAAAATTTTTTTTCTTCATCAAGTTTACATAAAGTATAAATTAAAACATGGTTTTAATTGAATAGAGTTATGCAGAAAGCAGCCAGTCCACAAATTTGGCCAAATTAAGATATTGATGTCACCAGACAAAGAAAGGTCAATTCTATAATCTATTAAAACCAGCCAGGTGGCTTTCATACAAATATTCAGAGTAAATGCCTCAGAAAATGTTTGTGTAAAAATAAATTTGATTATTTAACATTTAGCCAAAAGTGCTTCTCTTCAGTTTGAGTTTTTTTTTTTGTTGGCTGCTTTCTTTATAACTATGTTAAATTTATACTTTATGTGAACGCCTTTAAACGAATAGGGGATAAGAATGGTTTTCTTTCTGTTTATAACAATATACTGGATACAGCATTTCACTTTTTTTCTTGATCTCTTCCTGCTTATTGACAACATTATAATTACTATAGTGGTCCCTTTCCTTGATTTGTACATTTATTAGAAGATTTGTAATTTTGTTAGTGGATTTACACATTTTTTGTAGATTTGTATATTTATTAGTAAAATTATGCATTTATTTGTAGATGTGTTCATTTGTTTGTAGAATTGTACATTTGTTAGTGGATTTTTACATTTGTTAGAAATTTGTACATTTGTTAGAAAATTTGTAAATTTGTTTGTAGAGTACAAACATTAGTGAATGTTAGTATAAAATGAAGAGTGTTTGAGTTATTGAAAAACTGCATCTAGAAATTTTTAAGGTTTAATAAAGCTAAAAATTTAGCAAAATTTTGTAAAATTTATTGTATTAAAAAAGTTAAAATCGACTTTAAGAAAAAATATATGAAACTATATAAAAATCATGCATTTTTTGACAGATTTTGACCTCCCCCCTCCCCCTTGTCACAAAATTGTAAAACTTAAGAAGCAAGTTTTGTATGAGTCGTCACAAAACTACCAACCCCCCTCCCCCTTATAGGTTGACGTAATTTATGGACGACCCCTAATGCTTTATAATAAATGGTGGTGATGGTGATGGTTCAGGTGGTGGGCGTACTAGTTAAAATATATCCATAAACAATTTAAAATATTGATACCCTGTTTCACATAAACTTTTAAATATAATCTTCATTGTATAAGTTTTAATGTCATTAGTAAATTATTATATAATCTTTATATAAGTTATAATGCATAAAGTTTGTTATATTAGTTTTTAAAATTATAGGCTTTGCAGCAAAAAAATGTAGATGGCGCTAGAATTTATGCAGAAAATGCAATACGCAAGAAAAGTGAATCACTGAATTATTTGCGCATGGCTTCTAGACTTGATGGTGTTCGATCCAGAGTGCAATCTGGAATCATGATGAAAAGTGTATACTCATCTTTTTATTCAGTATTAGGTCAAATATCTGTTACAAAGATAATCGTTAATATGTGTTGGATTGCCATCATTTGTATATATACTGCGTTGTCATGAGTGTATATTGCATTGTTAATGAGTGTCGTATATATAACTGTTGTCATTAGTATGTATTGCATTGTTATTAGTGGTATGCATTGTATTGTTATCGCGAGAATATAAATCATTTTCATATGTTTATTGTAAGTATGTATTGTATTGTTGTTTTATATGTTTATTGTAAGTATGTATTGTATTGTTGTTTCATATGTTTATTGTAAGTATGTATTGTATTGTTGTTTCATATGTTTATTGTAAGTATGTATTGTATTGTTGTTTCATATGTTTATTGTAAGTATGTATTGTATTGTTGTTTCATATGTTTATTGTAAGTATGTATTGTATTGTTGTTTCATATTGAGTAATTTAAGAATTTTTGAAAATATGTATCTATTCGTTTTATAGTTATTTAAGATGAAATTGTATTTTTGTTTAGCTTACAAAAAACATGGGAACTGTTGTGAAAGGATTAGATAAGGCGCTAGCGTCCATGGACCTTGAAAAAGTGTGTCGTAAAATTTTGTTACAAAATTATTCTTTAAAATGATTGATTAAAAAATAACTGTTTATATACTTATAATAGGTCTCGGCTATTATGGAAAAGTTTGAAACTCAGTCTGAGCAGCTAGACGTACATTCATCTGTAAGTATTTTAGAATTTAAGTTATTATTAAAGCTTTTGCTTTTTTTAAATTTTCGAGTTACATATTTTTGTTAATGTTTTCAGGTTATGGACAGTACAATAAGTGATGCAATGACTTTATCAACGCCACAAAGTCAGGTAAAACTGTACTTTTAAACGATGCGTTTTTTGCAGCATAACGTCGTAATTAATTTTAAAACCTTATCGATTTAGGTTGATTCTCTTATTATACAAGTGGCTGAAGAAAATGGCTTGGAGCTAATTGATGCTTTAGCAGAAATCGGACCCGGGACTTCATCGCTCCAGTCAGTTGCAACTACAGCAAAACCAAGCAAAGAATCTGAACTAAATAAAAGGTTCGATAACTTTGGTAAACAATTTTGTTTGACCTAAATTTTTTTATATCTTTTTTTTATTTTTCCTTTTCAGATTGGCAGCTTTAAGGAATTGATCGAGATTTTTCTCTGTTCGGTTTATTTTGTAAATGCTTTGAAGTAATATCAAATGATGTTTTGGACAATCGAAAATAGAGTTAATCGAGTAAAAGTTTGAGACTACTTAATAAGAAACATTTTTTAACTGTAGATTTTTTTTTTGTTATTAATAAAATGATTTTTAAAAAATTAAGAATTGAGATTTTCATTGATGGAAAAGGTTAAATTCTGTAAATTTCGCGACAGATTACTTTAATTTCAAAATGGTGTACTTTATATCTAATAGAGGAAAGTTTTTAGAAAACATGTAAAAAATTATATATATATATATATATATATATATATATATATATATATATATATATATATATATATATATATATATATATATATATATATATATATATATATATATATATATATATATATATATATATATATATATATATATGATTAAATGTTGATCATTCTATTGTTTTCATACATTCTATTGTCTTCAAAATGTAAACTATTCTATTGTTCTAAATTCAAAAAATGAACTTGCTAAAATAAACAGAAAATTAGAAAAAAAAGTTCAAGGCCAAAAAATTTCAAGGCCAAGGTCAAGGACCTAATTTTTGGCCTCAAGGCATGGCCGAGGCCAAGGACTAACAACTCTGCTTAAAAGTCCTTAAAATATACCGCTAAATTAACTATCTAACGGTAAACAATAAATAAAGTATTACATCTTAACAACCAATACGACGATGGTTTGCAAAAAAGTTCACATTTTACCAGTTCGCTGTTCGTAAGGGTTGGGGTTTCACATTCACTACCTTCGAGGAATAGCGCATAACTTGACATTTTGATGAAAAATGAAGTATTTTATATAAATTTTTAAAATAGATAAAGAAATAAACATAATTACATATTGATAATTTTTAAGTAAAAAAATTTTTTTTGGGTGATTATTTTCCGGGGGTAGGGGGGTTTCTCGGAAGGATTTTTTCTAGGGGGATTTTTTCCCATGGGATTTTTTTCTAGAACCCTCTGCTTATATATAATCAGAGGACTATATATATCGTTCTTTGATTATATCGTCCACACGACCTAAATGATCAGGTTTTTTTTCTCAGTGTACCATATTAATCACGGCCGCTTTAAAGTTACCGCTTCGTTTTGTTAAATATTTGAATACTCGACTGTTTAACAGAAACAAAATTATTAAATAGCTATATTTAATGTAACCTGAATTTTCTGTTTTAAAATTTAAAATTTTGTATAAATTGTTAACATGTTGATAAATTATATATAAGATATACATTTATTTTTAAGAGAAAAAGTTACACAAAAAAACCATTAAAAAAAAACAAGAACAACAGCAAAAATAAATCCATATATAAAAAAACTCTACAGATATTGCGTTTATTAAACACTGTATAACTTTAATAATTTTGTTTCTATGTCAATACAGTTTTGATTCAAATATGATTAAAAATTCTTTAAAATAACTAAAATTCTTTAAAATAACTGAGAACTAAACCTTTCCAAATTTAATACTTTCAATTTTGATCAAAAGAATATGTGCAGATTCTCTTCCAATAATGCTCATCACAATCCATTCATATTCAGAAAGATGGCCACCTTCAACACGAGGTTTGATAAGCTTCTTGAACTTATCTATGGTTGATCTCTTTACGTTTATCCCTCAGAATTTGTTCCGTGCTGACAATAGAAATTTTTTTATTAATATAACTATCTATACAATATTAACAAATATTAAAATATCAAATATTACAAATATTATATTCTTCTTCTAAATATTATATTACAACATTCTTCGAAAATATTTTAGAACTGCTAGAATTGCCAAGATGGTCCAAAAATTTTGCAGAATATTCTAGAACTTTAAAGAAACTTTAGAACTTTCAGAACTTTTTGAACGTTCTTGAACTGTCCAAATATATAAATACATGTATAAAAGCACTAGCGACTTAAACCAACATTTTGGTTTGCATGATTCGAATTAAATAATTTCAGAGAAATTAATTTACTCAAATGAATCGACAATGCTGTTTGCATTCACCAGATGTATTTTGCTACGTATTTGATTTATTTATAAACACAAGATCAAATAAGTATTTTGTGGAAGCAAATCGTAAAATGTGTGAGGCATACAAACATATTTCGGAAGGAATATTGCGGGTTAGAACAAGTCCTGGATACCGCATTTCACGTGCAAATAATGCATGAGAACTCTATGAATGCAAAATAAATCGTTTCTTCAGCTCATCGCTTTAGTACTGCAAACTCTAAGCTGCCAGTTCCTTCTACCCAAAAAAAAAAGGAGCTATTTTTAGGAGAAAACACTAAGCCTGACAGCAAGGAAGATATTAGAGATACAAACTACAATTTCGCAATCTAGTCAGAGACCTAGTCAACAATCTAATCAGAGGTTTAGGCCTTTCCAAGTCGAATGCTGATCTTCTGATATTTAAGCTCAAACAGTTGCACTTTTTAGATGAAAAATGCAAGTTACAGATCAGAGAAAAAATAGCAAGACGTTACCCCAATTACTTCAGCGGAGACAAATGGTGTCCTTTAACAAAATTTCAATAAAATATCGTAATACGTAATACGTAATAAAATTTCGTAAAATATATACCGTCAACCGGGGTTGCTTTGAATGTTTTTGAGATATTTTAGTATGCCCCTCCTTCATTAGTGACAATATTTAAAATTTAACATTATGCATATAGAAGCTATGGCTGGCTCTTACATAATTCAAACTCAAAATCATATTTAAACAAAAAGATTTGGTATAATATTTATTTACTTAGTCGTTCAAAGTTACCCCGCAAATGGGGTTACTTTGAATATTCAAAAACACAATGTTTGGTCTTAAAATTCAATAAAAACAACGCTCTAGGTTTGTATTAGTTATCATCACTCAAATAATATAATATTATGTAGTAATATTTTACCTTAATAATGGTTTTTTTTTGTCTTAATGGGTATGTTTTAACAAGACCTGCATAAAAAGAATCTTCATTCTTTAGTTTTTTATGTTCAGGAGTAGAAGACAACTCAGATGAAACAATAGTTTCACTAAGAAAAGACGATGCATGTGGAACATCATTAAATGTCGCTCGAAAATCCTCTAAAGAAATACTTTTACCAGGATCAACTGTAATTTTTTTTTTCGCTTTGGTTTTTCTTTTTCCTAGTCATCAACACAACGCAATCGCTTAAGTACATTAACTACAGCTTGGCTAACGTTGCTTTTAAAACTTTCAATATTTTTATCAGCACATTTTTAAAACCAGCTACTAAAGTGCTGCTGACCTCTTGATCTGGCGAATATATATAAGTATATAATTTTTTTAATAAAGAAGGAAATTTGTCTTTTGTAATTGTCTGTGTTTTTTTTGAACACGAAATTTTCCATTCATTAAGTATTTTTCTCGAATATTTTTTAAGTGGTCCAAAAAATGCAACATCAGGTGGTTGCAGTAAATGGGTAGGGTTTGCAATTAAGCAAACAAACAAGATGTTGTTTTCTTTAGCTAATTTAAGTACCTTTTCACTAAAGCGACTGCTAAGATTATCACCAATTAGAACTTTGGTTCCTGGAAGATGTTTTACAGATCTGACAAAAACTGTCTCAAACCAATCAGAAAAACAAACAGAATCAAACCATCCTGACTAACTTGATTGAATCGTACATTAGGTGGTCCACCTTCAGTCCATGTTGTACATACATGGTCAGCTTTACAAACAACATAAGCTGAGAGCATTTGACCAAAGGCTGAAGCACAAAACATGATTGACGTAGCACTTTTACTACTGTTCTGAATAGTTCAAGATATTTCACCCCTCTTTTAAAAATACATAGTTTAGTTCCAGGATTATCTGACAAATTTGTTTCATCATAGTTAAAAACATTGCGGGAAGGAATTTGTATTTCTTCGTCGTGCTTCGAAGTAATTTTCAAATTATCAAAAAACTTGTTAATTTCAGAACATGAAACTGATGCCCTAAATTTTTTAATATTCTGACTCATTCGTAGAGTGAGATCAGCATTGTGACGCTTTAAAAAACTATGAGCCCACTCACTTCCAGGAAAGTTATTGTTAAATTTAGGAACAACTCTGCCTTCAATATCCAAAATTGACTTTCCTAAAACACAAAGATCCATGATATCAAAAGGAAAACCCCAAGCAGCAACAGCAATAACATGTTGCACAATTGCTAATTCCTGCATAGACGTAAAAACTGTGGGTTTTCCTGGTTTTTTCAGATTAAGTCTTTTAGCTTTATTATACAAAGTCCCAACCAGAATCCCATGAATATATGATGCTTTTCTGTACGACAAACCACTAATGATAGCTATCATAGCATTTGATACATGTTGTTCAGAATAATTTTTATACGGCCTAAAATCAATTTTTTTTTTGTATAAACGTGGCATAGTACTATTAAGATATGCTAAAAGTAAATTTAAAGATAAATGCAACACAATTTAGAATGAAAACACAAATATTATATGATATGGTTGAAAAGTTATTAGTAGTTTCTCCAAAAAGTATATATATACATACATACATACATAAATACATATATATATATATATATATATATATATATATATATATATATATATATATATATATATATATATATATATATATATATATATATATATATATATATATATATATATTTGTGTGTGTGTGTGTGTGTGTGTATGTATATATATATGTATATATATATATATATATACATATATATATATATATATATATATATATATATATATATATATATATATATATATATATATATATATATATATATTTATATATATATATATATATATATATATTTATATATATATATATTTATATATATTTTTTTTTTTTTTTTTTTTTTTTTTTTTTAAACATGTTTATTTCACAACTACGAAGTATTTACAATTGACCAATCATCGATTGGCGAATAAAGATATACAAATATAAATATCGTAAACATAAAGTCCAAAATAAATAAGAGATAAATCTAAAATATTGTTGCATTCAACTTTGAGACTTGATAAAAATAAATACAAAGTACACAATAGAATAACGTGAACGTAAAAATTATCCAAGAAATAAACCTTTTATATTCTTTCAATCAGAATAAAATATATATATATATATATGTACATATATATAA